ACACTTGACACAGTTGAAAGCACTGCATGGAACAGTGCGAAGACTAGAAGGAGAGAAAGCTGAGGTTCGCTCAAAGAACATCTCCCTTGCAAGCAAGTCGCGGATTTGCTAGAGAAAGACGAAGAGAAAGACAACTTGAAAAGACAGGAGATGATCAAAGTTCAAGAAGAACAAGAACAGTTGGCACGCGAGTATGAGACTCAACGGAAGCAGCTGGAGGATGCTAGTAGGGAGCAGGAGGAACGGCGCCGACAAGACCACAAGATGCGAGAAGACCTCCTTAGTCTTCAAGAGGAGTTGGCGACAAATGACCGACACAGAGAGAAGCTACAGCAGATCATGTTGGACCAAGAGCACAAGCAAGCCGCGATGGAAGAGTCCAACAACAAGATCCTCAGAGAGCTTCGAAGTTTACAAGAGAAGGCCCAGAGGCGAGAGTTGAAGATGAGAGAGTGTAGGCTCGAGGTTCTTGATCTTCCACCCCACGCAGAGTCGATAGGGCTGATGACGCTCATTGTGAGCAACGAACTTCTAGATCGGCTGGGAACTGTGGCAGAGGACAAGGGTGGAGTGGCCACGGAGTTTGTTTGAATGCCGTTGAAGATGTTTTGTGGGCCGTGGAGGATGCATGTCAGAACAAATCGCGAACGTGTTTGCAGATATGCAGATATGTGAAACGTATACATTTGCATATATTCATGTGTTTTATGTATGGGCAAATAGCTCATGTAGCAGCATTGCTTGTCTTGTTTGTCTTGACCCCTTTTTGATCCAAGATCCCATTCCTGCCCTACAGCTGTTCTCCTGTCCTTGCAACTGCGTTGCTAGAGCGCCCTTCGTGTGTGGAAGAACCTTTTGACGCATAGCGTCACCAAGTTGCCCCAGAACACGCAAGGAAACAAGAATGAAACAGCGAACCAACACACACACATCCAAACAATCATTAGGAAGCAGACCCAGGAATTGAGGGAGAGCAGCAGGAGGAAGGCAAGGGCACCTGACTTGAACAGGCATCCTGCCTGACACTGGACGTAGAACGTGCAGCGCAGTAGCAGCATGTCAGACCTGTTTCTAGCTGAGGCAAGCTGCTCCAACTAGCAAATGTTTCTTGCTAATGTTTCCGGCTGCTTTTCCGTCGATCAAGCGGAAATTGAAGCAACAACCTGATGTGGTTTAGATGTGGCCTTTTGTCTGACTTGTAGATGCTTGCCGCATTGCTGTATCAGTGTGAGAGAGCTGGGGAAGCAAACAGTTCAGCAGCCATTAGCAGCCTGCTTGCCCTTGCAACTGCAGCCCTCCCCTTCACCTTGTATCACTTGTCTTGCCATGCCCCTCACAGCTTGCTGAACTTGATTCATGCAACCTGTTGCGTTTCAGGGCGGCCTCTCATGCCCCAACCGAGTTTCGGCAGGAGCACGCGGAGTTCGTCCAAACTGGCGTTGTTCAAGGGCGGTTGACCGTTTGTGGCCCTGAAGATGTGCAAATACTCGCCAAGTCGGTCGTTGAGAACTGGGGATGGTTGGATTGGCATTGTTTCTCTGCAGATAAGAGCATCGTGGCGAACCTTGAGAAAGCGAAGGAGGCTTCTATTCGAAGACAGCGGAATGCATTTTGGAAAGGCCCATTTGGGCGCAAACTCTCGAAGATTCCTTTGCTGGCCAGCCTTCAAACGCTTCATGCCACCGCTGTTCAGGACCAAATGCTTGAAAAGCACGGACAGATTTTGGAGACGTGCCTGGAGTTTGTTCGAACTGAAGCTCACAAGGAGATGGATAGCCCAAACGATAAAGAACACTGGAAAATGACGATGAAGAGCTGCGCCCAAGAGGTTTCGAAACTCTATCATCATGAAGCCAACGTGCTTCAAACCTGCGCAGAACGGTTTGTGGAAGACAAGATCAAAGAATTCCGTGACAGCAAGTTGTCAAAGCCGAGCGCCCAGTCTGTAAGAGGGCGATTTGAGACCATCGCAGGGCAATTCGAGGAGAATGTCAAGCGCTTGTTGCGAGATTTTATGAAGACACCTTCAGAGCAGGCCCTCTGGGACATGATGAAAAGCTTTAATGCCCACTGGTCCGTTGCAAATCTCTTTTTGCCCATCTATGAGCAGTCCGCTGCAATGATCGAGGATTTTCGGCGAGCCGATGTGCTTGTGGTGGAATGTGAAACCGGAAGTGGGAAGTCCACTGCCCTGCCCGCCTTGCTGCAAGCCGAGTTGAGGGGTAAGGTTTGCATCTCGCAGCCGCGCATCCTCCCATGCAAGCGGACTGCGCAGTTCGTGTCAGCGCAAGTGCAGGGCAGTTGCAAGGTTTCATATGAAACTGCTGATCGTGCGTGTGAGATTGGCTCTGAGATTGTGTACATGACCGATGGCCTTTTGTCGGCTCGCCTCATTGGGCCTGATGCTGCCGCTGCAAATCCCTTTGATGTGATTTGCTTGGATGAGGTGCATGAGCGCAACAAGAATCTGGATCTAGCAATTATGGCACTAGCAAGGATGCTCAAAGAGGGTAAAGCATCTCAGAGCCGGATTCCGAAAGTTGTGGTAATGTCCGCCACGCTGGACGAGAAGACTTTGCTTCCATTTAGGCATAGCAATTTGATGCTGAAGAAGTTTGAGATCAGAGTTCCATCACCATACAAGATACGCGACAGCAAGACCTATGTAGGGGTTCACTACATGCAAGCAGTGGAGGAAATCTTCAAAAAGAAAGAGCCAGAAGAGCAGATTTTGTGCTTTGTCCCAGGAACCGCAGATGTGGAGAAGGCATGTGCCAGTTTTACCAGCCGCATGGGGGGCTCTTGTGGAGCAGAGGCATTGCATGCCAACAGGGATGCTGAGGAGATGCAGGCAGCTCTGCAGAGGGGCACGGTGTTTTTTTGCCACCAACATCGCGGAGACCAGTATCACAGTCCCACGTTTGGCGCACGTGGTGGATGTTGGGAAGCAGAAAGTCCCCAGCTCCACCAACCATGTCTTTCGCCTTGAGGAGTCCTTTTCCGCACGGAGCACCCTGAGGCAACGCCGTGGTCGCTGTGGCCGAGTCAGGGATGGCACCTACTATCCCACCTACCGTGGGACTTGGGAATTGAAGACTGGCATCTCTCAGAGCCAGGCGAAGCGACGTGGTGATGAGGTGACGCGTGACTTTGCCTTGCCGGAGTTGCTGACCGGAGACTCGACACTGTGACCTTTTGCATCCTTTTGCCTTTATGTTTTTGGGTTCATAGTATGTCTGCGCCAAAAGCGGAATCAAAGGATAAGAGATGTTATGTAATCATGTGTTGATCTATGTGAAGAGGCACCTTCATGCATGGCACCTTCGTTTGGGCCTGGTGTTTTGGCCAGTTTCGCGCCCCAGGAGACGTCGTGGATGTGGAGTTTCGCCTCTGGTGTCACGCAGCCAACCCCACCAGATTCCAGTCGAAGCTCGAAGAGCTGCAACCCGATCTTCCTATTGACCCTGAGGACTGAAGATCAACTTGCTTCCCCCCTATTGAGAAATCTCCCTTCATATCTGTTCATTGTCAGCTGCCAAGTTACCTCGACTTTTTTTTGCTTCAGAGACCACAGTATGATGTTACTTTTCAGTGGCTTTCTCAAAAACTTATATATTTTCTATGACCAATTTATCCAATAGCGTCGTGAATCTCAGGGATTTCGGCTATAATTTGCAAAAGCCCTAGGCCTCCCTCAAGTCGCCGCAGTTGTTGGTTGAAAACGCATGAAAACGGGTTAGGGCCTCCAAAAGCAATAAAACACAATAACCTTGTTGAATAATCTCTTCTTCGTTAGCAGAAGAATTGGAAACGCTTGGAAGACGAAGAATTGGGACTACATCTTTGTTCTACGCTGCTCAGCCGCTCAGCCAAGACGAAGAGACATTCGAGACTAGCAAAGTGTACAACTGCGGCCACTTGCACCGCGGTTCGTGAATGTGCGACCACCAATCGAGAGCACGCGACCTTACATTTGGCAAATCTTCGCAAAGTCTACTGAGTTTGCATAGGTGTTTTCATTTTTGCCTTTAAAGTGGATTTGCGCATCATGTGAAGGGGCCCTTGCTAAGTGGCCTGTTGGATCTTTGATGTGAAACCATTCTCCCAGATCCCAACGCTGGATGCATAGATCAATGCACCCACCTAAAGAGCATTCCAAAAGGCAGAGGCACACATAGCATGCACAAGTTCGAGTCACCCACCCCCGGCACACAAGATCGGCCCCATCTTGAGAAAACCCCGCTACTGTAACTGTCCTACCATTAAGGGTCAGTAGTAGTACCAGTTCTATCCATGTCTATTCAGATTTGGTTTGGATCGTTTTCCTTTCTTTTGTCTGGAGTTCTCCATCTCTTGATGTGCTTGTTTGTTTTTGGAAAAGGGGAAACTTCATGAAACTTCTAGGTGCGTAAAGTGAGAGACAAGAAAGTACTAAAAACTTGTTCTTTTTGGCATTTTCTTCCTGCAGAGAAGGGACACCAGCGCACGAGACACACCAACAAAGACAACAATGGAGGCTGAGGTTGGAAGTCTTGAACGTGCGTGGATGTAGCTCACGAGCAGGAGTGCCTTGGGGTCTTTGATTTGGTCATGAGCTGCATTTTAGTAGAGATGGCTGGGCGGAAACAATGGAAGTCTTAGGCTAGGTGCCAGATGCGTCCCTCAGTGGCTGGTGTCCCGTGCGCACACCTAAAGCTCGCCCCAGGAAGGTGCCACTAAATGCGCGCTTCATAAACTCCCCTTAGAGTTCTGTGAGGGCCTTGCTGACACAAGGCAGCGAGAAACGGGAATGGTCAGATGATAGATGTCAATTTTTCTACTGCTACTGATTTCTTCTTGTGCCTTTCGTTTGGGTGCATGTGTGAGAAAGCGTCAGGTCTTGCGCGTGGCAAAGGGGTTTATCAAATCTAAGATAACAGACAAGGAAGAAGAGAGTGATGAACTTCGAGTCGTGAAAATAGCAGTGTAGACCCTCAGCAGCATCCCAGACAATGCGGACCATGCAGTGTGTGCCGCAGGACATGCGCAGGCTTTCACATCAGGCCGAGGATGTCACCAAGCTGTTTCAGATGTTGGGCATTGTGTCCCAAGGTGCCCAAAGCACCTTTACCACGGTGGGGCGGCAGATGATGTGGTTACCCGAGGTTGGAGGAGTTCGCTGGAGATGCATTCTGGCGAAAGGTGCCGAAGCAGGAATTGGCATCGCCGTTCTCAAGCTTTGTGCTGGGATGATGTCATTGCCCAATGACAAGGATGGCGTCTTGGGGTCCGTGCCCGCGTTCTGCATCGATGGCCAGCTTCCAGGGGACGTTTCGAGCTTGTACAGGCTCTTTGATGCAGCCTACAAGGAGATTGCTCGTGATGAAGCCGACCGACCAAGGAAGAAAGGAAGTGCACACCTGAAGGAATTTGTGAGAAGATCCTTTGGGGGCAATGACAGGATGTTCCGAATCCTTCAAAAGTTCGGACGAAAGTACCAGAGACTCCGGGAGAAAATCGGATGCAAGATCAATGGTACCAACACCAGCCGCGATGAGCAGGACTTTCTCAGGCTGGTCCTTTCATCCAGAAAGCAGGCAAGTGTGAATGATGTGTGCAAGGTGGTGATGAAGGGCTTTCTAGATCGGGTTGCCATTTCTGAGACATTGATTGGTGGTCGCAGCGGGAACTACATGCTGCTTTACAAGCATGAAGAGCATCAAAGGCATGTTTGCCAAGGAATTGCCACCATACCAAAGCAGAGCAAAGCTTTTCGCAAGTTCAAAGACGCGGAACCCTTTGTGTTCGCTCTTGAGCTGAGTCAGACACTCAGTGAATCGACCCCCAAGATGCTGAAGATCGCCAACAAGATGGATGAAGAGTGGTTGCAGGAACGCTGGTTGCCCCCGTGCTCGGTTTACTGTCTGATTCATGACTCTGAGGAAAAGAAGCTCTCTCAAGGGGGTGCAACTCTGGGCCAGCACAATCTTGAGAAAGAAATTGTACGCTGTGACATCTTCAACTACGCAAAGGTACCAGCCCATTGCAAGGTTTGCAAATTAACTGGCCATCCAGGTGGGGTGGTGAAAGCATTGAGGTTCCTCAAGACCGATGGTTCCTTCGTCTCCGAGTATAAGGCCGTCCTCCAACCACCTCGTGGCATGCATGGGAAGTTCAAGGTGGACCAATACCTTCAGAATGCTGAGCTGTATAGAGACAACTTGTCCATTTTCAACCAATGGATCAACCATTGGAGAAACAATCATCAAATCACCATCGACTGCAAGAAATTCCTTCCCGCAGCGGACCAGCCGCTCGTGACATGTCCAGACCTTACTGCCAAGAACCTACCCTACTTCAAATTCTCCTGCCGGGTGATTCACAAAGAGGAAATTGACGCGGCCGTGGAAGCAACGGGCCTGTTCTTGGCCAAGTGCGCAGGGAAGACTCACTTTGATATGGAGCACGAAGACCTCCAAGTTGCTGCCTGTAAAGATCCACACTTGATGCTAAGCTACTTGCAGCAGCGGCCCCATCGCGTGCAGCACCAGGGTTCAGACTATGACAAAATGCGTGGACGCATTAGTCAGTGCACGCAGGTTGACCGCACGGTCAATGATTTGTGGGAAAAATGTCATGGCCGGGAAGCAACAAGAGCAAGCCGCATGGCTGCAGTTGCATGGGTTGCCATCACAAAGTTCAACCTGAAGCTCAAAGGTGGTTTCATCCGTGACTGGGTGGTTCCAGGCTTCGAATGCGTGACAGATGCTCAGGGTCAAGATCTGCCCTTTCTCTTGCAAAGTGGACCTCGTGGTCGTCCTGTGATTGATGCTGGCTTTGTCCCACAGGACCTCGACTTCCAGATGCCGTCCGACGGGTACTTCGATGTGCAGGCCTTCAAGGTCAAGGTGGAGACTACTCTTGGGATCAAGGTGGGTAATGCCAAAAAAGAGTCAATTGTTGATGCCAAGTGTTTTGGGTTGCTAAGTGAGGGACTGCACCATGTGGTTGAGACACTTGATGAAGGAGAAACAAACGCATGCAGCGCAGGTAACTCAGATCCACTTGGATAGCTTGCTGATGGTCATCGTTTTCGATGCAGTCCATGGCAATGAGGACCCGCCATTGGGCAGCAAAGGTCCTTTCACTGCAGAGATGGCATTGCCTCACATTGCCCCAACAATGGTGGATGTGGACTTCTGCGTGAACAATCTCTGTGTCATGGCAGACTTTCCCAAAGACTTGTGCATGCGAGTGCCTGTGCCAAAGCTTACGGTTGACCAGCTGATCGAGCGCTGCTTTCAAAAGAAGTTCCAGCTTTGCAAGCCGCAGCTCATTTGCAATAATGCAAGGAGTCGCGCCCATGAGCTCACGAAAGGTAGCTTCGGAAGATGCGCGTGAACAACGCGAAAGCACTTCTTAGGCATGACACGACATGAGATTGCGCTTCCTTATGGTGTGGTTGCATCCGTCCGTTGCCCACAATAGTTTTATCCTGTTGAGTTGCTGTGGGCCACGAGGTTTGACACAAGGGGAGAACATATTTGTTGAGGAACTTGGTCCCGTTTGGCGCAGAACTTGGAACCCAGATGGTGAGGTTGGTCAGCGGTGAGCTAGAATAGTTTTGACTTGTAGGTAGGCAGCCCGTGGTGATTTCTGCTTTTGTGCCTTGCGAAATTGATACAGCTGTCGAGATGAGAATCCATTCCTTCAAACCTGCGCCCCTTTGAGTGTGGACTTAATGTGGCACCGGGGTCAGGCTATTCAGCCTCCTGAAGAACTTGAACTCACGCTCTCCCGCCAATCTTCCTATATATCTTGTTTAGATCTCTTGCTCTCTGTGTGGCATGCTCTGCCGTCCCTTCCCCGGGCCATGAACGGGCTTGCTTTTTCCTCATTGTTGGCTCCCACTGCATCGCGGGGCTCTCTAGTAGGCTCCCGCCGCCACGGCCTCACTTTGTGCGATGAGCTGTTGGGCTGGACTCTTCCTTCGATGTGCCGATGAAGTGCCCCAACCAGTTTCTCAAACGGCTGCCACCGGCGGGTCCGTGGCGGGCAAACGCGTTGAGACTTGGAAGGGCCTTCTTCCAATGTGATAATTCATCGATTGCTTGTTCATTCCTGCCTAGAAATACCCGCGAAAGCGCGTAACTTTTTCTTTCGGTCTCGTGCTCTCAGCTCCCCAGTGTCACCGCCCTGCCTTTCTTTGGTCCGCTCATATCGCTTGTCGCTGGTGTCTTTTCATTAATGGACTCGTCTGTGCTACCTCCCAGCTTCTTCTCCTTGCTGCTGATCGCAGCCTTGCCACGACTCATGAATTTCCGGAGCACCGATGCCGCATGATACATTGTTTGCAACATTGAAAGACAACAAGAAACTTGACACAGTCTTTGCTGCAAATGATGAGGCACACTCTCAATGCATGCGTGGAAAATACAGCCCCCTCAAAAGGTCCCAAGTAGTCAAGAGCATCAATGGCACATGGGATCCCTACGAAATTCTTAATGGTTGATGACTGCGGGCACGAGACAGGCCGCATCGTACTCAGCTGAGGCAGGATATGCTTATCCAACAGCGTGTCGAGAAGATGATCAAGAAAGGCTTCCAACGGATTGAGCCAGACTTGGAATGGCTGCCGGACTCGGAGGAGGTGATACGACTTCTGGTGGACCATGAGCGTGACGGGAAAGCAAGAGAGGTGGTGGACTTTCTTCTGCAGGGCAAGAGCCCAGACGATCCGAACAACCCCAAGCAGCATCTTGCCATGCCTCAAGGGACAAGGGTCGTGAAGATGTGGAAAGTCAAGAATGCGTTTCTCGAGAGGATCTACAATGCGCACCGCGAGCTTATCAAGAGAGAGAATGGTGGCAATGAAAATGAGCTCTATGGGTGGCATGCCCCGGGGCAAAACACTGAAGAGGTTCGTGTTTCACTGTGCAGGCTTGGTGTCGACAATCGCTTCTGGAAGCCAGGCTTTTTTGGCAATGGAGCCTACTTCGCGACATATCCGCTCAAGTCTCACAGTTTTGCTCAAAGCCAAGGTGCTGCCCCTAAGGTGATTTTCCTTTTCAAGGTGCTTTGTGGACATCAGGAGGTTATCCTTGGTGAAGGACGTAATGGGCCGGGAGCGCCCGGCAAGTTTCAGCCGAAGATGAAGCACCATTCCGTCCTTGGACAAGGTGCGGCTGCCCAAAAATTGCGCATAGCGATCTCCAAATAGATAGAAACGGTTTCCAAAACATTTTAGTGGGGATCTACTTTTTCTATCTATTTGGCAACTCCAGGTCACGGCGCAAATCGCGGAATTGATATTGATGAGCTCGTGGTGTTCCAGTCCACTCAAGCTCTACCATTGTGGGAGGTGGAGTATGCCCCATAGCAAGCGCCGGACTCAGTCTTTGTATAATGTTGTGCGATAATTTGCCTTTTTCTTGTCGCTTTCTTGAAGAGAGCAGCAGGTTCTGGCGCTTGTGATTGCCTGGGGGTTCGGCTGTTTGTTCTTTGAAAGGGCTGTTTAGATGATACTACCAGGCTACCTTTTCACGGATCTTAATTGCTCCTCTCAACTAGTGACCAGTCACTCATTGCAGCGTGCCACAATGACTGTGGCGCTTTTGTTGTTTCAAAGGTAATTCACACACACTCTGACACTTGTATTCAGTGAACTCAGTTCCCAGGTCGAAAATGGTGAGAGAACGGCATGGCGAGAAAGTCAGTTCACTTGAAGGTTGAACAAGTTGTTTGTGCGTGACTGCAGTGGCAAACTCTCGCGCGGTCGGCTGCATCTCACGAGCGGTTGAGAACTGCGGTGGAAAACCTGTTTGTGGGAGGGTATCATGAAGAAAAACCATGAAACCAACAAACAGCAGCAGGGTGGACCATTGGTGTCAATGTGTTCGAAGCAGGTACGTTCTCAAGGCGTCCCTCGAGAATATCCTGACGAATGGCTGGAGCTTCGTTGGATCAGGCCAAGCCAAACGTCCCCGATCCCCCTGCATGTGAAAGTTCGTGGAAAATCGGTGAAGGAAGTGGCGGTGGAAAACCCTTGGTCCAGGGGTGGACACACACAGGTCGCCGTCGTCGGCGCTTTTTTCAAAAAACGGTGGCAGGCGTGGTGGTTGTGTCCTTTTTGGACATAGAGCCTCACTAGCTCGGCGGCAGCAGCTTCAGCGCTGGAGGGTGGAAATGTGTATTTTCGAATGGTGTGAAGTCTGGATTGGAGGCCTGACAGAGCCAAGCGCTGGCTCCCGGCGGTGGTGGAATCCCTGATTTTCCAGGGTTGGGAAGGTTGCATGTAGGTGATGGTGCGTTGTTGGAGGTCGATGTTGAAACCGAGGAGGTGGAAGTCGTCCACAGGTTCGAGTTCCACCGGGTCGCCGAAAAAGTTGTGGTGGATGAGGGTTTGGATGGCGGGATGGTGTAGGAAATGTTCGTTGTGGACAATGAAGCGGTTGTCAACGTATCGGTAGTAGGTGAAGTGTAGGCTGGTGTGTTGCAGGAGGTTGTTGTGGATCTGGTGCCAGGAGTGTTCAATGAGTGTAATGGCTACATTACAGAGGGCTGGAGAGAGTTGGGAGCCAATCCCAGCTCCTCGGATTTGCTTGTAGGTGTTGTTGCAAGCCCGGAAAATGCAAGTGTTGAGTGCAAAGGCCACGATGGTGGTGATGTCGGAGGTGTGGATGGTGCGTTGTGTGGGATGCTTGCGGTGGTGTCTGCCGATGTGGGAGTGGTGGAAGGGGTTGCCGGTGGCTTGGACATCCACTGTAATGGTGTGGGTGGATTGCTGTTGTTGCCAGTGGTGGATCATAGAGTGAACGGCATCAATGAGTCTGTGTTGGGGGACAGAGTTGAAGAAGCCGACCAGGTCATCGTTGGTGGCGTGCAGGGAAATGTCTGCCGGGGTTTGGGTGAGGTAGCTGTGGAAGTGGTGCCAGAGCTGTGGGATGGACATTTGCCCTGGATGTTGGGGGTAAAGGTGTTGTAGGATGATGTCGAGGGCACGGCTGGTGATGCGGAGTAGGTTGCCGCTGAGTGAATGGAAATAAGAGATGATGGTGCGGCCTTTTTGCCACTGCTTCTTCTCCTTGAGGTGGACCACACCGTAGGGGATACTGAAATCCTTGCGGAAACCCCATTTGTAGCGGGTGCGCAAAATGGGGGGAACAGTGGCTGCCAGGTGGTCGTGGATGTTGGCGGCAGTGAGGTGGGGAAGTGGTTCGAAAAGTTCGGGGGATTGCCATGTATTCAAGGCGCCAGTGAAATATTGGCGGGGGCAGAACAGCCGGAGTTGTTGTAGTTCATGGTCGGCATGGTGAAGCACTGTGTGTTGGCCGAGGTATTCTTGGAGTTGGCGAAGCAGGCGAGCCGTAAAACGGGGTTGCTGCTTGAGGTGCATGTTGTGGAGGCGCCATTGGTGCTCGAGGAATGGCTGCAAGTGTTGTACGAGGGATGGTGGGGGCCCTTGTAGCTTTAGCCATTTCGTGTAGGCTGTCCGGAACGTGAGGAAGTATCGGGCCTTGCTTGGGTAGTAGGTGCTGTTCATGTTGGCGTTGAGAAAGATGCCAAGATGTGTGGGAAGTTGGAGTTGATCAAGTGTAAGAATGTAGTGGCCGTTGGTGGTGGGTGTGTCAGGATCCTGCAGGAGAGTACGAAGATGATCGCGTGCGCAGGCGAGGTCTGCTGGATCTGGCGGGGAGTGGAGGGTGCCCTCCCATGTGCGGTGGTTATGTAGGTGGGAACGTAGGGTTTTGTGTGCGGCTTCGCGCAGTCGGTGGGAGGGGAGGTGAAGGGGAATGGTCAAGCGCTTGTGCTGCTGAATGGTAGTACGGAGCCACTGTTGGCAGTGTTTGGTGAAATCGTCGTGGGCCAGAAATGGCACTGTCAGTGGAATATTTGGTTTTGGCGGCGTGAGGTTGCGGTAGAGGAGGGCTTTGTTGATGATGTGAAGAGCTCTGCTGCGGCCGGGTTCCTCAAGGTTGGCGGCCATACGCCGGATGGCGTAGACTTCAAGGTCCGTGTGACGGCCGCTTCGTAGCTCTTTGGCTGCTTCAAAGGAGGCTGCTGTGTGTTTGGTAAGGTTGCGGAGAAGTTGGAGGGTGTGATGCTTGGTGGAGGTGTAAAGGTGTGGTTCTCTGAGTGTGTACTGGCGTTGCCGCAGGCGTCGAAAGAGTCGTTTGTGGGTTGCTAATCTGGAGTAGAAATGGGCTCTGTGTTTGGTGAACTGCCAGTGGTGTTCTTGGATCCAAGCTTGGTCGTATGTGTCGTGGGATGTAAGTTGGATGGTAGTGTAGTGGTGGATGTTGTTGTGTGAGTGCCAATAGCGTAGGGAGAGTTCTGCAGAAATGGGGATATTGTTCTGGAGTTGTTTGAGTTTGGCACGGCGATTGTGTTCGCGGTGGGGAATGCCAATGGCTGTGGAGCCCACATAGAAGTGGCCATGTTGATGGTAGCAGCGTTGAGGTTGGTCAGGATTGAAGTGGAGCTTGATGTAAACGGAATTGGAGGAGAGGAAGTTGTGGTAGTGGTATGTGTGGGGTAGGATGTGGAGCTGGCGGAGACGGTTGTGCCATTGTTGTGAGCGACGGGTGTTGGAAGGATATGCGAAAAGGAGTGTGATGTGGATAAGGCCAGTGGCAAAGATGGCTTCGGCGCGGTCAATGTATTGGGTGTGGTGGATCAGTATGGAGAGTGCTCGGTGTAAGTGGAACAGGTGGTTGAGGTTGGTGGGGCTGGGTTGCTGCTGGGCGAGGGTAGCGAGTCAGCAGCCGATGGCTGCCCCCACACTCACAAGCTGTTGCAAGCTCCGGATGGGCAAGCGATTGACCCGATTGAGCGGCAAGCCGTAACGTGTGGCTGCGTCCTTGAGCTGCTGAGTAGTGACTTTACTCGCTTGCAGCAAGCGCACGACCTCATTGGCGGCTTCCTGGACGGTAGGGTCGAAGGTAGTGACCCAATGTTGGATATCAGAGTGATTCCAGTTGTCTGGGATATCATCCTGCAATGTTGGGTGTGGAGGTTGCAAGACGTCTGAAAGGGCTGGCGGTTGTGGTGGTGGTGGTGGGGTGGGCTCATGTGATGGGGCGGCCGGTGCTGAGGGGTGGCTGGTGTTCTTCACTGGAGTGAGTGGGTCGCCCAAGTCGTGGAGCTTCTGGCGTGCCCGGGCCAGCTCGTCGGTGGTGTTCTTGAGGGCGCGTAGAGCGGTGCCCTCCGCTGGTGCCGGGGAGTGAGTTTGGAGTTGTTGGATAAGTAGTTTGATGAGGGGGGCGTGAAAGGCTCGGGCCTGTGTTGTCTTGCTGGGGATGTCGGTGCCCTGTTTTGTGTGGAGGGTCTCGGCGATGCCGTCTAAGTCGAGGCGTTTCTCGCGGAGCTCTTGGAGAAGGTGGGTCACGAAAACCGACTCCGCAATACTTCTGGTGGCAATGAAACCAGTGTATTTTCCATTGCTAAGAGTGCGGTAAATTCGGAGGTACCATGGTACGCCAGTTGCCATGGGAAGATGTCGAAGGTCGGAAGCCCTGCCACCCCTGCTTTTCGAGACCACTGTGTGGGTTGGATTGTACGGTAGAGTTGGTGGCCGTGCAAGGTGTTGGAATCCCAATGGTGGTCGGTTTGGTTCCAAGAGTCTTGGATGGGTGGAGTGGGGGATGGGATGTGAGGTGGCGGTGGAGCAGGTGCAGTGCCTGCGCGGGCAGCTGGCGGTGGTGGTGGGCTGTGCTTGTAGGTCGATGGCGGTGGAGTGACTGGGTCGGCTGTGGGGAGTGGTGGTGGTGGTGGAGGTGGGAACTCCGGCTGTGACGGTGGTGCCTGTTGTGGCGGTGTGTGCTGCGGTGGCGGTGTGTAAGGTGATGTCGTGTATGGATGAGAGTGGTGGGCTTGATGCGTGCGGAGTGCGTGAGTGAGTGGGCCATAAGTGCCGGTAGGGTTGTAGGTGTGGTGAGTTGCGGTGGGAGGTGAAACCGTTGTGTCTGGGTTGGCAAGCTGCTGATGATGCTGCTGTTGAAGCAAGTAATGATTCCAGTAATATTGTTGCCACTGCGCGTCCATGGTGGCTGGTCGAAGTGTCACTGGATCGTTGAGGCGAAGATCACGGGTTGTTGGTTTGAGCAAGCTGAAGGGCGCGGGAAGAAAAGGTCAAGAAAAGGTGTAAATCAGTGCATAGTGGCTCCCAAATGGCAGTGTCAAACAGTCGTGAAACTGTCTTCCGGTGAATGTGTCTCCGTTCTGAGATAGTTAGAGAACCAATACGGAAAGGAGTTGTGTCATGCAAAGGCAATGTGAGAATGTCGCTGAAAAAGTTAACAAAAACTGGCTAGGTCCAAGGGTAATCAAAGTTGATGAGCGAAAAAGCAGCTGACGGCACAAACTGGTTTTTTCGTTGCG